CCTTCATGTCAGACTCCAGGCTCCTGAATCCGCCACCTGGGATCCCCAGGCACCACGGCTTGACCTTGGCGTTGCTCTCAAACCCACCCTTTTCTTTCCATCCTTACAGAGCCCACGGTTTAACCCAGGCCTTGAACATCACTTGCAGAAATTGATTTCTCAACTTGAATTTCTGTGTATTTGCTCTCTGACACCTTACAAGCTTATTTTGCTTAAAGCATATTAATATGTATATATATTTACTATATACACATATATATAGTATTTCCTCTTTTAAACAATTTCAAATGCTTGCCATTGCCTATAGGATGGAGTTAAAACCCAGGAAGTGGGCTAATCCTTGAGTGGGTTAAAATTTATCTACCATTCATTTTGTGTTGACATGACATACATATTTGCCAAGGACTGTACATGCATGCTCAGTCGTGTCCAACTCTTTGTGACCCTATGGACTGTAGCCCACCTGGCTCCAATGTCCACGGGATTTCCTAGGCAAGAATACTGGAATGGGTTGCCATTTCCTCCTCCAGGGGATCTTCCCGACCCAGGGATCGAACCTGTGTCTACTCATGTCTCCTGCATTGCAGGCACTTCTTTCCTGCTGAGCCACCAGGGAAGTCCTCACCTAATACTAAAACTCACTTATTGCACACTTCACACAGCTTGGGACTTCTGTAAGTGCATTTCACAAACCTACCCCTAAATCCTGAGGAGAACCCTGTGAAGTACGTGCATTTGGCTTCATGACATGAAGATGTGAAGCACAGAAAGGTGGGGTGACGGAGCCAAGACTGCCCAGCTTGAGTGCAGAGATCCAGGATCTGGACCGCTGCTCTCCATTGCCTCTGGCAGTGGGTAGACTGCATCCTCACGTGAACCTGGATTCCTGCCTTCCCATCGGTGCCCATGTACTTCTGTCCCACCTGCAGCAGCTTGACTCCCTTCACCTTCTTGACTGTTTCCCCATTGTTGATCCCTACACTAGACTCTGTGGCCTAGGAGAAACTGTCCCCATACCCTCACTGGTTGTGATTCTCCCACACTAGCTCACGGAACTTAAAGTCTGTAGTGTGGTGTCCAGTCACACATAAGCCTGTGATGCACTGGGATGTTTATAGGTACTGTTTCCCCCAATAGATTGTAAGTTCATGGAGGATCAACAAAACGTGCATTTCTGCACGTCATGCACACACCTAACCCACAGTTATGTATGCAGTAGGTGTTCACTCAATAGTTTTTTTTTTTTTTCAATGTGGACCGATTTTAAAGTCTTTACTGAATTTGTGACAATATTGCTTCTGTTTTATGTTTTGATTTTTTGGCTGTAAGGCATGTGGGACCTTAACTCCCTGAGCAGGGATCAAACCCGGACCCCCTGCATTGGAAGGCAAAATCTTAACCACTAGACAGTCAGGGAAGTTTCTTACTCAGTGTTTGATGAGTGACTTTTGGCCCTGTCTCCTTCAGTGGCTATTCTTCCATTAACAATGATGCTTGGCCATCAAAATTCTTAGTAATAGGATTTTTCTAACATCACCTCCTTTGCCTGGAATGCCTTTCTTCCTCAGAACTGATTAATGTTTACTTATCTCCTGGGACTTGTCTGAGGTGTCTCATATCCAAGGAGCCCTCCATGACATCCATCTCCAGGCCGGCTAGGGTGTCTCTCTCTCCATTTCCTCATCACCTTATCATGTACATTAAAGGGATTTGTTTCTGTTCTGGTTTTTGCATCTCTAGACTGTGGACTCCTTGAGGACAAGCACTGTGTCTTTTCATTGGCATATCCTTGGGGCTGAGCACAACACTGGTCTGTGGAAGTGCTCCGTGAATATTGATGGATGTATCAAACCCGGACCCCCTGCATTGGAAGGCAAAATCTTAACCACTAGACCGTCAGGGAAGTTTCTTACTCAGTGTTTGATGAGTGACTTTTGGCCCTGTCTCCTTCAGTGGCTATTCTTCCATTAACAATGATGCTTGGCCATCAAAATTCTTAGTAATAGGATTTTTCTAACATCATCTCCTTTGCCTGGAATGCCTTTCTTCCTCAGAACTGATTAATGTTTACTTATCTCCTGGAACTTGTCTGAGGTGTCTCATATCCAAGGAGCCCTCCATGACATCCATCTCCAGGCCGGCTAGGGTGTCTCTCTCTGCATTTCCTCACCACCTTATCATGTACATTAAAGGGATTTGTTTCTGTTCTGGTTTTTGCATCTCTAGACTGTGGACTCCTTGAGGACAAGCACTGTGTCTTTTCATTGGCATATCCTTGGGGCTGAGCACAACACTGGTCTGTGGAAGTGCTCCGTGAATATTGATGGATGAATGAGTGAAAAAATGTGTGAATGAATGAATGAAATCAATGCAATCCTAGTATGTTTCTTTTTTTTTTTTCATTTACTTTTATTCCTAGTATGTTTCTAACAGCCTGCTTGATTAGCCAAGGTAAGATGCAGGATGTATCCATGGAAACAAAATAAAATTGTAAGTAGCCCTATCTCCATTGGCCAAAATCTTCTTATGAACATGTATTAGCCACAATCACAGTGCATCCTTGTCGATTTAGTTTAAATACTGACAGCATGTTAGCAGTTGCCACCTAGACAATGATACTTGTAATCTCCTTGCATCTTAGGCACTGTGCCAGTTAGGGTTGATAATTGGGATCGCACCTCTGGTCAGACCACCTCACCTCTCTGCCCTGCATGGTCTGCCTTTCAAGTTCATCTCAGGGCAGTCTGCCATCTTCAAGCTCTACTCTGAGGCAGGCTTGAAAGGCCAGTGAGCATTTCACCAACTTCAGCTGCATGAGTTGGACAAGTTCCAGTTGTAAGAGGAGGGAGACAATTCTAGATGATTCTTCCAAGCATGAGGTGTGATGGTCTCATTTGATATACTCACTCTGCTGACAGCTCTGGCCCAAACTGCCTCCTCTTCTACTCGGGGACTTTCCATTGTTCTCTAGTGTATGATTAGCAGATTAGCTATCATGTAAGAAGCCAGGAAAATGAACTCCCAGCAAGCCCTTCCAAAGCAAGAGTAATTCATTACCCAGCCTGATTTCCACTTAAAATGTACTTTGAGCACACTTCCAACTACAAACCCTAAATCACCCTGTGTTCACAAAGTCCATCATTTTTTATTTTATTGCGTGGCGTTGGCGTGACATAATCCCTTGCAGAGCATCTCAGAGTGCTTTACAGATCAATAAATTACTTACCTGCAGAGTTGAAGCGATGTCTGCAAGGCCAGCACCGTCATTCTGCAGCAGCCTGTCCTCTAAGAAACAGGCAAGGCTGTGCGATTGCCAAGTGGGGGCAGGATCAGGGCTGGGGCTTCAAGAATTACAAGTCCCAGTTAAAACTGTGTGTATAAAACGCATCAGATTTAAATGACTTAGAGAGCTTAGAAACTGGGATCCTTCAGACGGTCAGCAAATCAAGTGTTCAGTCATTAACTCATCAAGTTTCTTTCTCTTCTGGAAGTTTCAATTTAGCTTTTATAATGATACAGCCATAAATCACAGTGATATGTCTTATAAGTTTCAGATCTTAGAGGCTGGGGTCATTCCCCAGCCCTGGCTACATCCACCTTCACACTGCTTCTACCTGAAGCTCCATGTGGATTTAAGTCTAAAAATGATGAATTGATGCTTGCTTTATGCAAGGAGCTGTATTGGAGACAGCAGAAAATAAAATGATGAGCAAGGCTCTTGTGCAGTGTCTTCCAGTATAATCATGTATAGTCAAGGGAAAAAATGACACGTTACATAAACCAGCTTATTTTAATACTGTGGAGGAAGCTACACGGTCTCCAGGATGGAGAGGCAGTGCTCTTGGACATGGCCTAGAAGACCTCCTGGAAGGGATGCTGGCTCAGCCGGGCCTTGAACGATTCCAGTCAGTCTAGACAGTTGGAGAAAGGTGCTGGGGACCAAAATCAGAAGCAAGGGCTTGAGGCTCAGGAAACAAAGTCTGGTGTATGCTTGTTAATGAGCATTCCTGGTTGGGTGGGGCTTAGAGATGGATGGCAAGTCAGTTTTCAGGAGAAGGAGGGAAAATGGCAAAGAACAGCTATCTGCAGACACCCCCGTTTCTGGAGGAGAAAATCCAGCATAACCAGGAGTGAGTGATGAATAGTTCCAGAATAGAAAAGACAAGTGCAGAAAGTTCCAACCAGTCTTATTTTTGTGTGAGGGTTGCATTGGGGTCTTAGCCTCGTCTGGGAAGTACGGGTCATGGTCAGCTTGCCTGGGGTCTCCTGCAGGCCAGGTGACACCGTGTCTTGGGGGATCATGGATTCTGGAAAGACACTTGGGGGTGGCTCAGAGGTGTGCTGATTGAAGGAGGAAAACTGATGTGAAGACACCTATGAGAATCGGACAGAGAGGCCATGCAAACTTGAAGCACTAGTGTGTCAGAACCAATGTTGGTAGAACTGAAATGATATGTGTTAATGGCATGGTTTTGAGGTTGTTGTAAACATGTAGCTAGTTGGGGAAATGGTTCCCTTGAACAACTGTTATAATTCCATCCTATAAATATTTGTTGTATTTTTACTATGAAAATACATAGTAAAAGTGTTTGTGGCTCAGTTGTGTCCAACTCTTTGCAACCCCATGAACTATGGGCAGGCAGACTCCTTTGTCCATGGAATTCTTCAGGCAAGAGCACTAGAATGGGTTGCCATTCCCTTCTTCACTGTATCTCCTAACCCAGGGATCAAACCTATGTCTCCTGCATTGCAGGTAGATTCCTTACCATCTGAGCCACCTTCCCAGGCTCTCCAACATTGCCTTTAAATAGGAGGAAATAGAAGGTGAAGTCAAGGTGAGATGTTTCTCTCACACGTAATGTGATCCCTCTAGTTCCTCCTCATTAACTGTAGCTCCTGCGTTTCTGTCCCTGGGTTATTCTGCCCACTCCCCTTTGAAGACAACAAAGAAATACTTCAGCAAAATTTTAATTTTCCTTCTGCCTGTTTCATCTCCACAGTATCTCCCAAAATTGTGGAGATTTCTTCAGATATCTCCATTAACGAAGGCAACAACATCAGCCTCACCTGCATAGCAACGGGTAGACCGGAGCCCACAGTTACCTGGAGGCACATCTCCCCCAAAGGTAAGAGAAGCGGCTTGGTCCATCATGTCATGCGAGGAAGTGGTAGAATCGTTGGCTCTGGCAGGAGGTTATGGTGCTGGTGGCTTTGTCACAAGGATCCCACATTCTTGGTGGTCTGATAACAATATACTTGTAGCTCCGCAGAGAATATCGGTGTTCTCGATGCAAGACGGGCATAACTGCTAAGGTTCCAGAAATCACACTGGGGGATTGATGCAATCCCTGGGAGATTAACCTCCCTTGTTTCTGGGTGAAATGGTGGTAGGATGTCCTGGCTGACTTCTCTGGTCACATTGGATGGTAGAGTGCTCAGTTCAGTATTGGTGACACTTCAGCTGGCTGTGGTAAGAGAGAAAACACAGACACACAGTGATGGATGGGAGCTTTGCATGGCCATGTTCCTAAAAGGAACATTTCCAGGTCTGTACTGCTTCAACATTGCCAAGGATCTGGTCGCTAGGCCTTCAGTCCTTGTGTGGTTTTGTTGTTGTTCTGCTCTGATTAATCCTAGATAACAAATATTACTTACTGTGTGGCCACATTGCAAAACTCACTTTGTCTAAATGTCTAGATGTTTTGTAGACCAGACTAAGTCTTGTTTTGTGCTCGCATAGACTGAACCTGAAACTTTAACAATTTAAGGCAAGATGCCATTTATTAAGGGCTTCACCAGTGGCTCGGCAGTGAAGAATCCACCTGGAATGCAGGAGATACAGGAGATGAGGGTTCAACCCCTGGGTCAGGAAGATCCCCTGGAGCAGGGCATGGCTACCCACTCCAGTATTCTTGCCCGGAGAATCCCATGGACAGAGAAGCCTGGCAGGCTACAATCCATCGGGTCACAAAGAGTTGGACATAACTTAAGTGACTGAGCATGGGCATCATTTATTATAAAGCTAGCTTTTATGCAACGTACGTTACATGGTTTTATTTGTTCTTAAATATCAACTGAGTGTTTGGGCATATAGTGATAAGCCAGAACAGGCAAGTTTCTGCTCTCATGAGCTCACATCCCCATGATGCAAATAACCAGTATTATTAATAATAATAATAAGCAGTGATAAGGATGGGAAAATAGAACAGGATACGTTGATAGAAGGACAAGAGGTTTGGTCAGGAAAGGCATTTGACATGGTGACATTTGAGCCAAGACCTCAATAAAAATCCTTAAAATTCTTTGCTTGTATATGGATAGCCTAAAGTACATATATGTAAGTATGTAGGTATATATGAGTGTGTTTGTAGGTAGGCATGTGTGTATGTAAGTGCACTGTTGACTCAATGAAGGTTTAAGGTGCTAAAGGACAGATACCCACTATTATAAAATAGATAAGCAAGGGCCTACTGTAAAGCACAAGGAACTGTACTTAATATCTTGTGATAACTTATAATGGAAAAGAATCTGAGATATATATATATATACATATATGTATATATATATGTCCTCTACTGAAGTTATGGGGGTGACCTTTCTCGCCAGCACCGTAGTTGGTCACAGAATTTGGGCTGTGACCCCAGGCCAGGTATCTCTCTTCCTGCTGGAGCTGAGGACTGTCTGGTCCACCCCGGGGCAGGTGTCCTCTGTTCCTGAAGAAAGTGGGGCATCGCAGGGTCCACTACACCTGGGATTCAATGTAATCGGTTGAAGAAGACCACATGGGCCCCAGATAGCAAATTCCCTCTCTTGGGGTGACAAGTCGCCCTAAGGACATTTTCACAGAAGGGGTGAGATTTTCAATGTGTTTAGCTGAAACCCTGAGAACTCTCTGTAGCCACCATACTTGAAGGCACCACTGTGAGCAAGGGAATCAGAGGGATGCTTACATTTCTGCCAGTCTCTCAACTGGAACTGACCTTACAGGTGGACTGACCCACAATCTGGGAAAAGGTTCCACTGTGCATGAGATCGCTAGTGATGAAAAGTGGTCCTGGGCCACATCCCAGGGAAGGGTGTTCAGGTGGACAGACTTTTTGGTTCAAGGTGCGCACCATTCATCCCTGCAAATGTCTGGTCCTCACTGCTGCTGGACGCTGGGACAGTCCGTGCCTTTAGAATCCACAGAGCATTCATCATCTCAGCATCATGGACTTTGCTTCTGTCAGGAGGCACCTGGCCCTCCATTCTGCAAGTCCCCCTCTGACTCCTGTTTGATGTCTTTTCTCATCCCTCCTCTGACTCTGTAGCTCTTTGTCCTTTTCTGGGTTCCTTTTCTGCCTTTCCTTTTCTTTCCTTTCTTCCCTTCTCCTCCGTATGTCTCCTCTTCTTGTCCTGCCCTTTCATGCTTTCTCTTTTTGTTCTCTGCTTTCCTCTCGCTCACAGCCTCCTACACGTTCCCCTTCCATCTCATTTCATCCCACATTGTCATCTCCTTTTCTCTCTCTTCCCCTCATAATCACTTTTGTCTCCCCGCTGCATTGGCACCCTCTCCGATCTTCCTGCTGAGGTTTGCATCGCTGTGTGCTAGCATCCTTCCCCCACCCCGGCCATCCAGCTGCCTCATTTCCCCAGGGGACTTTACCTGAGCCCTGGCCAGAGGCATCCATTTTCCTGGGGTTTTAGCTGCTATGGAAACAGAAGATGGATCAAGATGGAGAGGAGCAGGATAATCAGAATCTACCTGTGGATCAGAGTAATTTAGACGTGCAGCTTTTCCCAGATCCCTGGTCGGGATTAGCTACCCAGATTCAAGCTGACGAGAGACACGCCACGTGGTAACTAATCACCTCGGGGCTCGCGGGGTGCTACTTTCTCAGTGACTGATTATTTGGAGATGAGAGCTGGCATTGGGCTGCGGCCGAGCTCGAACTGAAGCTGGAGACCCTTAGCGGGCAGAGCTTCATCTCACCCCACTAAGTGTCTGCAAAATGCGGCTTATTTTACATACATGTGGACAGGATGGGAGTTCCTTGGAAGAAAAGATGCCCTGCACCCAAGCAAAGGCTCCAAAGACAGAGCCTCGTTCATCCTTGGTGCCACTCTGTATGGGCAGGTCATGACTCAATCAAGGGCATTGTTGTTATACTCACACCCATTAAAGCCCTGAAGGAGGGCGGACCCGGGCCGGACACGGTGGGCAACCTTGATGGCTTCACTACATCTTCTTTCCTGCACAATCTGTTTGTTCTGCACATTTCTGCAAACTCCTAGTTTCCTCTATCACAACTCATATGGTGCTCCCTGCAATAAGCTGACATTGGTTTATAACATTATATAAGTTCCATGCATAAAAGATTATATTTTGACTTCTGTATACACTGCAGTGAGCTCACCACAAAAAGACTGGCTTCCATCCATCTCCATACAGTTGACCCCCTGCTCCCATTTCACTACCTGCCCCCACCCCACTTCCCCTCCAGTAACCTTTATTCTGTTCTCTGCATCTATGTGTTTTGGTTTAGTTTGTGTGTATATATATATATATACATACATATATATATATATATATATTCCCCATATAACTGAGATCATATGATATTTGTCTTTCTCTCTCTCACTTATTTCACTTAACATAAGGTCCCAGCTTTCACTGCCTTTATGTGGAAACAAAATAAAGAAGTGTTAACCACCATTGTATAATAGTGGCTTATGTATCCAGATATACAGAAGCTGGGAGTGATCTCATGGTGGGGAGAGGGTGGCAGGGTCTTTCTCAGAATGTGTCTGCTTGGCACATTACATCAGAAGGCAAAAGTGTCAGTTGTCCCTTTCCAGAATAGAGAGAAAGTAAGACTTCTCTCTTAACATTTCACCTGTTAGTACCAGTTGTATGTCTTTTTGGCTCCCTTCATGAACTTATAGCTCCCAGGAGTTCAAGCAGAATGTGTACTAGCTTTATAGAGATATACCCGCCCTCACTGTACATACCTATTTTGAAGGGTCCAGGTGTTGCCTTGGTCTTTTCAGGACAAAAAGCCCATCTCACTTTCTCCTACAGAAATGCCACCTGGAGCTACACAAATGTTGCAATGGCCCCTTGCCGAATCCCCCGTTTTAACCTGCTGCTCCAGGCACTTATAAAGAAGTGTTAACCACCATTGTATAATAGTGGCTTATGTATCCAGATATACAGAAGCTGGGAGTGATCTCATGGTGGGGAGAGGGTGGCAGGATCTTTCTCAGAAGGTGTCTGCTTGGCACATTACATCAGAAGGCAAAAGTGTCAGTTGTCCCTTTCCAGAATAGAGAGAAAGTAAGACTTCTCAGGCCACCTCTTGACATTGCCGTAGAATGTGAGAAGTAACATTTCACCTGTTAGTACCGGTTGTATGTCTTTTTGGCTCCCTTCATGAACTTAGAGCTCCCAGGAGTTCAAGCAGAATGTGTACTAGCTTTATAGAGATATACCCGCCCTCACTGTACATACCTATTTTGAAGGGTCCAGGTGTTACCTTGGTCTTTTCAGGACAAAAAGCCCATCTCACTTTCTCCTACAGAAATGTCACCTGGAGCTACACAAATGTTGCAATGGCCCCTTGCCGAATCCCCCGTTTTAACCTGCTGCTCCAGGCACTGGAGGGCCAGCAGTGGTCCCCAGAGTCCCTCAGACACAGCCCCCACTTGTGATTCTGTGTCTTGTCTTCTCTTTGCCTTCTCGAGATGTTCAAGAACTTACCTTAGCACAGCCCTTTCTTATCCAAAAGAATACCTTTAATGCTGTCTATTCCTCCGAGTCTTCTAAGTAAACAGATATCCCATCTCTCCCAGTGTGTCCTAAGAGATGCTTTTTAAGACCTCACAATTCATAGGAAAGTATTCTCAAAGCCCAGTTTTATGTCTCCAGCTTCTGCTGGACTGTCAGAGCTTTAAAGAGGAAGCTGAGATTTCTGTATTTCCACCTCCCTGGGAGCCCTTCATGAGGCCCATTTGAAGGCTGAGTCCAGCTACTGTACCTATGGGGTCTGGGCTCACTGACCATCCTAAAAAAAGCAGTCCTCCTGGGTACACCTACCTCAGCCTTTATCCCATCAAATCCAACACTGAAAATGACTATGTCACCAAG